AAGTCCCTTCCACTTGCTGCTCTAGGAGGGTGAGGGTGTTGGGGGGACACAGGAAACCCTAGACAATGAATGGATCAGATTCAATGGTTATAAGGGGGTAGGTGGGGAATGGACGCGAGGCGACATGTACACTGTGAAATACGCCCTTGTTCTCAGCACCAGACCCTGTCCTCTTTGCCCACTGCCTAGCCTCACCCTGTGCTGTGTGCAGAAATTGTGCCAAGTCCAATGTAAGGCAGCTAGATGGTTGGGTGCAGGGGCAGCCAGGTTTTCTTCCCTTCTCGTATCCTGTGAGTGCAACAGTGAAGTGATGATTTCCTCCTTCTGGCCTGTTTAACATTTCACCATAAGCTACTGAACTATAACTAGGAGTCAGCTAACAATGTTCTGTCCACTGTAACTCGGAGATGGGACCCTCAAGGAAAAACCCAATTGTAACGGACAAATGTGACCTCATTCCTCAAATAAAGCTAGCCATGGATACTCGGTCGTGAGCTCTGTCGTCTGCCTTTCTGGAGGTGGGGCCCAGATGGGGTCAACGCTTAGTTTTAGGTGACCCCCTTGGAGATTCTTTTCCAGAACGTTCAGTCCATCATTCTCATTAGCAGCAGTAAAAAAGCTAGCAAGGTCATCAGTCTGGAAGCGGGGCCTTTGAGAAGAGGCTTGCTGAACGTCCTCCATCAGGACCAAGAGCTACAGGTGCCCTTCTTCCTGGGGGATCCTGGGCTCTGTGACAGATCTCCCTCAAGCTCCTTCCCAATCCTCAGTCCCAATCGGCTCACTCTGACTTGCCCTCTGCTGGGCAGACAGGGAGCTGGGGTTCGGCCAGGCTGTGAGGACTAAGGGCCCTGGGTTAGAGTCCCTCCTCTCCCCACTACCTGGGGGATCTGAGACAGCTCACTCTACGAGGCCGAGCCTCAGATTGCTCAGTTGCACTAGCTGAGGACTGAGGTCCCTTTCAGCACAGACTTGCTGTGCCCAGGGCATGGCTCCTCTGAAGGACTGGGTCTCAGCTCACTCGGTTTACCTGGTGATGTACATGTAGTGGGAAAGGACACTAGGGCCAAGGAGGAAACAGCAATAAACCAGGGCAGGGGTGGGATGATTTTTTCCAGCTGAGCAGTCAGGTAGGTCCGTTTCCACTGGCCAATGCCCTTTCTCTGGAGAACGCTATTCACGCACCACTCCCCTGAACTCTAACTGGCCTTTCCAAAGTCTGCTGGGCTCACAAACGCCAAGCACCCTGAAGGGGTTTCTCTTTCCAGGGCCAAAGGAGAGGTGGTACAAAAGAAGGAGGGAAAGGGAGCTGCGAGGCTCTGCACCCACAGCTTCCATCCTGCCCTCAGCTCCCAGGGTTGCGTCATGTGAAGACTATTCCCACCTCGGGGCAGCTAGATAGAGGGCCCAGGCCTGGAGTAGCAAGACTCCTCTTCCCGAGTTCAAATCTGGCCTCAGACACTTGCTGTGTCACCCTGTTTGCCTCAGTTTCGTCATCTGTAAAATGAGCTAGAGAAGGAGATGGCAAACCACTCCAGTACCTGTTAAGAAAACCCAAAATAGGGTCACCAAGAATTGGACATGCCTGAAACAACTACACAACAAAACTCCCACGTCACTGAGCAAGGGAAAAAGACCTTCATGGTCCCACTGTGTTCCCTGATTTTGCTTCCCAAGACTGCGGGCTGCTGAAGGCCAACTCCTGATGGCAAAGTGGAGCTGGATCACCCTTGCCTCCCCACTGCCCCATCTGAAATCCACTCCTGGGAGATACTGAGAAGGGCAGTGGGAAACGCCCAGCGAGAAGGCACTAGGGTTCAGGATACATTGTGGCATTAAAAGATTCTATTTTGGGGGCAGCGAGGTGGTGCAGGGGATACAACTCCAGCCCTACAGTCAGGAGGACCTGAGTTCAAATCCCACCTCAGACACTTGACAATTACAAGCTGTGTGACCCTGGGCAAGTCACTTACCCCCGATTGCCTCGCCAAAAAGGAAAAAAAAAAAGATTCTATTTCTAGAAAGGTAACTGCTAAAAAGACAACAGGGCTTAGAAATAAAAAATTTATTCTACAATTAATCCAAACAATGGGAATGACAGGCCTGGAGAGAAGACTCAGTGGGGGAGGGGATAGAGGAAGTATTTCATCACTGCTGAGTTTCAAGAGAAATAAGGTCGTGAAGTGTTCAAATCAAGGTGAGGGCATGGAAACCTATGCCCAGCTTACAGAGGCAAGGGTTGGGGGGGAAGGAGGCCACGTGGTGTCTGTCCCTCCTCTTTTCTCCCTCTATGCCACTCCCCTAGTGCGATCTCATTAGCCCCTGTGGGCTCAATCACCATCTCAATGCTGAGCATTCTCAATCTCTACAACCTCCAGGTCTATCTCTCCAACTGCCTTTCAGACATCTCAAATAGATGTCCAGTAGACACCTTAAACTCAACATGGCCCAAACTGAACTTATTCTGTTCTCTCCTGTCCACCCTTAAACCCTCCCCAAATTTCTCAATTTCCTATTACTATCAAGGTCTCTCAACTCCCCCTAGCCAATCTGTGGCCAAAGCCCATCGATTTTACCTTCCTAACATCTCTTGTACCTGCTTCTTCTCCCTTGACTCTGCCCCCACTCTAGGCCAGACCCTCATCACCTCATCTCCTTCCCATGAGGCCTCAATGAAGTCCCCTGTTTTTCAGTTCTGATCTCCTTCCACTCCAGCTCTCCAACATAACCTATTCATACCCATTCCCTGTTAAGATGTTATCTTCCTGTAGTCATTGGCAGCCACATTAGGGGGAAGGTCTGGGTCTCTGTCTGGCACTTGCCCAGGGGGTTGATGCTAACTATGGTAGCACTCTTTAAATAGCCTGCTGATAGATCTACCTGCCTTGCCACCCTCACCCCCAGGTATGGGGTACGTGGGGCATTCAGGAGGACTAGCACCACTGATGTGAGGGCTTCTCAGGGCTGCTCATCCACTTTCAGCATCCACCCATCACCCAACTCTCACCTGTGGCTCCAAGAAGCTGGAGCCCCCTACGTGGCCACACCCTGGTAAACTCCCAGCAACAGGCCAAACCAGGCTGAAGGTAACCGACAGGCCTCAAACCGAGGTGAGTTAGGGGGTGTCTACCCCAAGCGCTTCCCCTGGCGGAACGAGTGGATGAGAACAATTTGTTCCAGGGCCATGAAGGCAGCCGAAGCAGGCGCCATGGAGAACTTGGAGCTCGGTCAAGCATTGAAGGTCATCCAATGCATCCCCACACATGGTCAGTCATCCTGGCCCGTGTCTTGCCACCGCGCCTGGAGGACGCTAGAAGACAGTGAGGCTGAGGACCCTGCGACTTTGCCTCAGATCCAATTCACTAATGAGTCAGAAACGTCATTGGTCTTTGAAAATGCAGGGCGAACAACAATCACCTGCCTGAAGTCTCTGCTTCTCAGCTGTCCGAGTCATCTTCCTAAAGCACAGGTCTGACTGTCTCTGTCTCTGTCTCTCTCTCTCACACACACACACACCACAATAAGTTCCCATGCCTCCCTGTGTCACTTGCAGGATAAAATATAACATCCTGATTGTCATTCCCAGCTCCCACCTCTTCAGTCCTCTTACACCTTTACAGAATACAGTGACCACGGCCTCCTGACTGTTCCTTTCACAAGGCTCCTCCTTCTCCCCACTGCAGACATTTTCCTGGCAGTCCCCCAGGCCTGGAATTCTCTCCCTCTTTCTCTCTGCTTCCTGGCTTCCATCAAGCCCCAGCTAAAACTCTGTCCTCTACAAGGAGCCTTTCTTGCTTCTCCCTTTTAATGCCAGAGCCTTACCTCTCTTACTTAGCATGTATTTCCTGTTTTTACAGGGCTGTTAGCATGCTGTTTCCCCAGGGGATTATGAGCTTCTAGAGAACGAACACACACAGTCTTCTGCCTTCCTTTGTATCCCCAGTCCCTGGCACACAATAAATGCTTAATAAATGTTTACAAACTAATTTTATGGCTTTGTCAGATAAGGCCTTAGGCATTAGTTTGTTACGACTAGGGGAGGATAGTTCCCTTCCTGTCCACCGTGGACAGTCATGACAAAGAGTAAAGTATTCATCTTTTAACAAAAAGAGAAGCAGCCCCCACCACCGCCCCAATCCTTGAATGAACCCAAATTTACTAAGCCTCAAAGCTGTGGATCACCTGCATCTTCTTCCTTTGGGGTGCTATCCCCAAACAAGGAAGTGTATCATCAGTGGAGCAGCCTTAGCCTCCTTTAGCACAGTCAAGGCTATTCTGAAGCCAAGCTAATGGGAGTCCAGAGGAGCTGAAACCCAACTAAAAAAAAAAGATGGTTTGCCTAAGTCAGCTTGGCTCCTGCATGCCCAGTTTTTAGAATACTTTTAATATCTAATTCCTGTCTGGAACATCAGGTGACACCATGCTCAAAGCTCTACCATCACCACCACCTACCACTTCCTGGCAAGGGATGCTGGGACTAAACCTTTCTGCCCTTTTCCTTAGACCAGAGTCCCATCACCAAGACAGCCAGAGAGCCAAACGAAGACTGTTTCATTATGCCACAGGCTTAGTTAGGCTAAGGAGATATTCCAGACCCTGACAACTTAAGTGGCAAGGACCTGCCTGGGAACCAGGAGTAGGGTTCTCCTCCTCTCTAAAATAGGCATCTCTAACATCTCTGCCTCTCCTTCAGAGGGTGTGAGAATGAGTCCCCAAACACTGGTCCAAGTGCCTGGGAATAAGTGCTGTGTGGGCCTGCAGGTTATCACTCGTCACAAGTGAAAGGATTCTAGCTCAGCGCCGGCATTCCTCCCCGACAATGGCGGTCCCTGTCCGACAGCCAATGCCAGGGTTTTGGACCAAGGTCCAGCGTTGAAAATCAATGCCACTACCTCCCGAGAGAAGACCGCTCGGCTGCGGTCCCATCAGAAGTGACACCTCCCATCCTGGAATCTCCTGACACTCATGTCGGGGTTATAAATGACTCCAGTCTTCCACGGTGATGAAGGTTTTAGAAGTTTAATTGTTTTTCAAGGTTACTACTGCAGCTTGGCAGCGAGGTCAGAGAGGAGAAGCGGGGAGGGTAATAGGGGAAAGTACCATCAATTTTCAGATTATGAGGCTGAAAACAGTATTAAGAGTGAGTTGACAGTCCATGGCTCACACAGCTACTTCTCTACGAGCCAGAGAAAGGAGAAATGAGAGAGTGAACCAAGGGCAGAGCCACTCAACTCGCCCTGGCCGCTGACCAGCTCACACACACCATCACAGTACAATTACATAGCAGTTGGAAGAGAGAAGGGAAGAGACTTGAAAAAAGAACGAAACCTGGAATTAAGGCTGTGTCAGGACTGACAACTAGTGGGGCTCTCAGAGCCATGGGGGCGTGGTCTGCTCCGCCTCTGCATCCTGGCCACCAAAGGCAGAGGAGGGATGCCTGCTGCCTGCTCCCGGGGCCCTGGATCCCCCAGAACACCTGAGACCCAAGGACAGTTCCTGTAATTTCCAGACCGTTGGCACCATCACAAAGCGGCGCCTTACACAGAGTAATTAAATGGGTCACAGGGACGGTTGATGAAGAAAATGAAGCGTGTGATTCTCAGCTCCAAGGGACTTCTCCCCTTCCTCCAAATCCCTTGGGGCAAAATGTACAGGAAACAGGGAAGAACAAACAACAGGAGTCAGCCATATCATACCGCCACATAACTCACAACAGCTGGCAGTTCCATTCCTCTGGTACGCGAAATAAGCAAGACAAAGATGTGACTCTCCTTCCCCACTAGCATGTGGAAGTACAAATTCACAGCACAGAGGTCATAGGATCTGCCAAGCTTGTGCCAGGGGATAAGGATCCCTGAAGAAGGGAATGGCCCCCCAGGAAAATGTCATGTGGCTTTGTCATAAGAATTCCCATGCCCAGGGTTGGTATTAAAAGAAGTCAGTGGGTACATTTCACCAACACCCGGGGTCTGGAGTGGCTGCTTCCTATGGCAGAGAAAGGCACGCTAGTAAAAAATCAGAAAGCAGGGCAGCTCCGGCAGAGCAGGGCACTAAAGAGAGTGAGAGCGGAGAGCGGATGCAGGATCTGCATACTCGCCCCACGCCACCTGAGATACCAGTCTACCAAGGAATTGCAAGGACCAGGACAGACTGCAGTCCCCATGAGGCCCCGTATTTCTAATAAAGATGTTGCCCAGAGCCTGCTCCCTTTTAGCTAGAGATGAAAGAGAAAGCCTGAGGCTCACCTGCCATAAGGACCATGGGGACTGGAGCAAGGTTTGGGGCACTGACCAGGCCTGTAATGGGGATCCCACATCCTCCTCAAAAACAGCCAGGAAAAAGTCAAGGCAAATTGGTGAATGCCCTTTAAAATGTGCCTTCAAGTAGCCAGGATCACAGCTCATTTACCAGTTTTATGCTACAGAATGGCTTGAAGAAAAAAAGACAAAGGTAGGAACAGAGAACAAATTCCAGTGCCATCCCCAGCTTGGGTCCCCATCTCACTCCAATACAGTGGAGTCTAGCTTCTGATTGCAGCCAGATCTTGGAGGGGGTGGGGGCTTAGGGGGGTAATAGACCATCTCCAGTTCAGAAAAGAAACTCCAGGGACAGAGACGCCAGGGTACCTTGGTGAGCATTTTCTTTATCCAACCCATGGAGGACCGGAACCCATGGGAGGAAAAGGACCATGAGTAGCAGTCCCAGGAATAAGGGCAAAAAACAGAACCAAAAGGGATTTTTGATGTAGAAATGGCTAAGTCCAGTCCAGTCTTCCCTTTGGAGGGATGGCAGGACTGAGCTGAGCCACTTTGTGTGGGAAGAAACTGACCGATCCAACCTTATCCCTCCAGAACAATGGTTCCAGCCGGCCGGCCTCCTACTAAATAAAAAGTAATCCGCCATGATCGTCACAAGTGGGTCCAGCTGCCTACTCCTGGTGCTAGCTCCGAGGAAGGCGGGTGAAGGTTCCTACTTAAGACAGACAGACCTCCACTGAGGATGACAAAGAGAGACTAGTGGAGGCTGCTCCAGAGCCACACCCTCGCTTCCTAAGGAACCAGGAGAGGTCAGAAAAGCCACACAGTAATTACGAGTGAAAAGGCTAACAAAATGCCTTGGGAGGGATGAAAACTGGGACAAGATCACTACGTGAGGAAATCTTTCGGTTATCTCCAGATTAAAAGCAACCCTGGAGGCTCGGAGAGAAGACTCCCTCAAATCCAGATGTCTTGAAGTTGCTCTTGAAGTGGAATGTGAACAACAGCCGTGGTGCAGAGCGGCCCGCTCCTCTGAGGGTCAGCCCAGGACCATGGACAAGGCATCCCCGGGCACAGGATCAGTGAGATTTGGGGGAACCATTCTTTTGACTGCCCTGACACGGCTCTGTGGTGAAAAGACTGTCCAAAAAGGCTTCTGTCAATTCTGCTACCATCTTCCTGTCAGGGACAGTCTGGGACATCCCATAAATGGCACCCTGCAAATCCAAACAAGATCTGACTTTACTGTTGCCACAAAGGAAAGGAAAGGAAAAAGCTGTGGTCAGCAGTCCCAAATTAAATTCCAACTCCTCACTGCCTCGCCGATCCTCCCGCCAGCCCTGGGAGTTTTCCACTCTTTCTTCAAGCCTTCCCACCCATGGTCACGATCCCCTAGACCGAAACAGAAAGACTCTCAGAAAGAGCATCTCAGCTGTTCCCTGCCCGGCTTCACACAAATATTTCAAAAGACCCGGGGCCATTTTCCAGCTCGGGCACTTAGCGCCCATGTGACCGGAAGCAGCGTCATCTTTGAGCTACGTTTTCTCTTTCACAAAGGAGGCTGTTCTAAATGAGATTTAAGGACTCCCTCAGCTCTAAAACCCTATGACCCCATGTTACCCCTCGCCCTACTAACTTCCAAAGAATGTAGAAAAATGGCTCCGTACCATGCCTGTTGTCCTGGCTTTAGGGTTCTTCATGATCTGCGTGACAGACTCCCGGACATCCTTCAGAAACAGCATGGACACCTTGGGACGGGTGTGAAGCAGGGTGATGCAGATGTGGATGCTGCAGGGAAAATAACAGGAAGAGAATTGTAAAGCAATCCACTTGTCTCCTGCTGGCACTTTTTCCTGAAGCCAAGTTCATGGGGTCAGCTAAGTTATTCAAGTCACTGGTCTCCTAAGTAGTAGTGCACACACCAGCACTGTGACTCCCAGGCAGGGCCAAGAAACATCTAGGATAAGGAGAAAAGAATGGCACCCCCCAAAATACTCCATTCCCTTTAATCCAGATTAGTGTGGGTTCTGTACAGCTAGAACCGTCAGAAGCCATGCCCCATTTATCTGTGAAGCACCTGAGAGACATCACAAAGAGGCAGGAATTAGTCAAGAACTTTAAATCCCGGCTACACATTTGTACCCACAACTCACTTTAAAAGAGCCCGAGCTTCTGGAAGCTGTGGAGATCCAGACTTTGAAAGGAGTCTGGGCATGAGCAGAAAACACCCCCAACCTGGACACCTGATTGTGAACTCCAACTTGGACAACTATGAGCTCATAGTAAATGAGTAAATGATAATCTCTCAAAACTTCAGTTCTTCATCTGTAAAAAAGGACTGATGACCTCCCAGGACTCTTGGGTCTCAGAGAAGGAGCTGACCCTTACATTCTCCCATCCAGCCAACACGTACACTAGGGGATCCTTAAATACCCGAGGGCTTGGCTCTCCTGGCCCGCAGCCAAACTCCCATGACTTCCCTGGCCACAGATGCTCCGTGGTGGGTCACCTTGGAGAGGACCCCTAACCAACAGCAGACTTACCTTGATGGGAATTGCAAAATATTCAAGTTCCAACCCTTGGCAGTCAGGAGATTAGAGAGTCGAAAAATGTCAAAGTCATGAGAGCCCAAGGCAATGACTGACACCTGAGGGTTCCCAAAAACAAAGATGCCTTTGATTTTTTCTAGCCTTAAAAAAAAGAAAAAGAAAGATGTTTGTTCACAGGTGGTCCTTTTATTATCATCCGCTTTAAACAATATCCTGCATGTTGAAAGTACTCAATAAACTTACGGCTTCTAAGGTCCAAGCCCTATGACCTATGTGGAATGAAAGCCTTCAAGGACACGCGCAAGGACACTACTCATCAAACCTAAAACATTTTGTGCCTTCTCCTCTGCTCTTCTATCAGGCTTAAGCCAAAGCTATGAACAGATACTTATGCTGAACATTGAAAATTCAAATGCCTCAGTCTGAATCAGACTCCAAGGGCAGTGAGGTAAAAGCTCACACCTCAGCCCCGTGAGGACAGTGTTCTGAGGGGTCACCACCCACAAGGCTGAGATGCAGGAGTCACTGTCACTATCTGTGGCATCCAGGTCAGCGGCCCAGCATCACCAAGAGGCCTGAGGTTAAAGGCCAGCCCTTCCTGGCCAGAGGCTTTGGTTCTTGGGGCATGGAAGGAGAGAAAGAACAGAAAGCTGAACAACCAAGCATCCTGGACAGACATACTCTGACTTGAGGAAGCGCGCGGTTCTGATGATACTCTTGGTGGCCTCCACGTAGCCATTTTCGCCCATGTGCATCAAGGTGGCCCAGCAGGCTGCAATGATGCCGCCAGGCCGCGATCCTGCTACGTTGGGAGAAGCGTAGATCCCTCCCTGCCAGTCAGGGGAGATGAAGAACTGGTAGCGTCGATACTCCTTGCTGCTGTACAGCAGCACAGACGAGCCTTTGGGAGCATACCCATACTAGGGGAGAGAAAGCGGAAAGATAGCAGCACGGACAGAAGGAGAACAAAGTCAACGGCCCACGAGGCCCTGGCCGAGTCGACACAGAAGCAGCGCCCATCTCCTGTCCCCTCTGGCAGGCGCCACTTCTTCTCTGAACTAATCCACTTCCCTTTAGCCTCCCCAATCAAATGCCCCCTTTAATAATGACTCCAGGCATTTCATGTTGGCACAATTGCAATTCACATGCTGTCAGAATTCACCCAGACTCCACAGGTGACTTTTGTCTTTCTTTCTTTCTTTTAAAAAAAATGTCACCAACATGTTGTCAAAATAACAGGCAGTAAGGTCGACATGGAAAGAGCAAAGGACTTGGAGGCAGAAATCACAGCCTCTTACAAGTGTGTGTGACCTAAGTGTCCTCTTTGTGAAATGAAAGGTTGGACTGAACTCTTTCTAAGATTGATCCTAACTCTAAAAATTACAATAAAGAGCAGCTAGGTGGCGCAGTGGACAGAACACTGGCCCTGAAGTCAGGAGGACCGAGCTCAAACCCAGCCTCAGACCAAACACTTGACACTTATTAGCTGTGTGACCCTGGGCAAGTCACTTAACTCCAAATGCCTAAAAAGTAAATAAATAAATAAATAAATAAAATAAAATAAAATAAAATAAAAAATAAAAATAAAAATTACAATAAATTCCCATGAGGAAGCAGGAAAGTGTGGAGTCCAAATGCTGGGAGCACAAGCTTAGAGCTTGTTCCACATACACCATCCCCTCCTGCCAAGAAGCTGACTTTCTTGTTCAGCATTTCATCGGTGAAGGAATGATCTTGATTTCAATCTTTGGAAAAAGGAAAGCCATGGAGCAAAAAAATCCAATAATCACTTATGTTTGGCTGAGAATCCACACGATTTCCTTACAGCAAATCTGCCTCCCTACTTGGATCCATCATCTGAGCAGACCTTGGCTGGGTGGTGGGGAAAGTCTATAGAAACTTTCTAAGTAGTGACAAGGCAGCAGGCTGGGATCAAAAATTCACTGCTGAGCATTCACACATCAAAAAACACGACTTAGCTGTTTAACTGACATTCTGAAAATTCAACCAAAGCTACTGAAATACCAGCAAGGCAAACAATGCCTAACCCCACCTTTGACCCCACCATGCTTGCCCAAGGGTCCCCATATGGCTATCATGATATATATTCAGTCTATTTCGAGGTATATTACAAATGGGGGGGGGAGGTAATGGCTTCCAAGTTCTGGCTACACCCACTTCTTTATATACTCCTACCCCCATGATCTCAAGATTTCAGGGAAATAAGAAACAGCTTTTTCCTATAAAAAGTATGGAGACTCCTATGATAGAACTCTCAGTTTACAGACATTCGATCAAGATTCCTACAGTCACAAAGAGGCAAAGATCAGCAGAGTAATGAATTCTAATCTGCTCCTTCCAGCCATTTCATTTAACCAGGCAAGGAACTCCTCCTGTCTGGCTCTATTGCCTCGGTGGGAGCTAAGAATCAAGAGTCAGATTTCCCGAACAGGAGACTGCTCAGAGATGTGAAATACTGGCCAGAAGTACCATAGGGCATGTTCGCTTCCTCACAGCAGAAGTGGCTATCTTAGCTGTCATTTTTCTCCATCTTGTCTTACCTTATGAGTATCTGCTGAAATGCTAGTCACGCCTTTTACCCGGAAATCAAAGAGCTGATCCAGAGGGTATCCTGCTTGTTGCATGAAGGCGATGAGGAAGCCCCCCAAACAGGCATCTACGTGGAAAGGAATTTTATACTTGACAGCCAGCTGCACCGAGAAAATAAAGAACAGAAGAAATCACAGAGGACACTATGACAAACCCGACGGTGGAACACAGCAGGAAAGGTGGACTCAACCCAAAGTTATTCTGTATTTACGTCTTATGCAAGAAGAAACAAAAATCAGAGATGCCCCAAGATCTCTACGGTGTTTCACACAAAGGCATGCTATTTCAGAAAGCAAAATTCTCCTTCTTTTTATACCTCATTCATCCTTTAATTCTATTCAACCACAAATTAATATCTTCAGTAGCTAACTTTCTAATTTTTTTTAAAACTCAATTTTATTTCATTTTCAGTTCCAAATTCTCTCCCTCTCACTCCCCTCCCCCACCCATTGAGAAAGCAAGAAAAACAACAACCCTTACAAATGTATGTAGTCAAGCAGAACAAAGCCCCACATGAGCCGTGTCCAGAACACGACTACACACACACCTGTGCATATGCACATGTATTATACAAGCCTCAATCTGTGCTCTGAGCCGTCAGCTCTCTCTGGAGGCAGAGAGCACGCTTCATCACGAGTCACCCAGAACTGCAGTTGGTCATTTTACTGACCCAAGATACTGAGTCTTTCTTTCTCTTTTCAGTATCGTTGCTGTTGTATAAACTGTGCTCCTGATTCTATTCACTTCACTTCGTATCAGTTCATACAAGTTTTCCCAAGTTTCTTTGAAACTGCCCTTCATTTTTTTTTTTTTGCTTTTTCATGAGGCAATAAGTGACTTGCCCAGAGTCACATAGCTAGTAAGTGTCATGTGTCTGAGGCTGGATTTGAACTCAGGTCCTCCTGACTCCAAGGCCGGAGCTCTATCTACTGTGCCACCTAGCTGTCCCACCTTCATCATTTCTTACAGCACAATAGTATTTCCTCATCTTCATGTACAAACTTGTTCAGCCATTCCCCAATTCATGGTCATCCCCTTAGTTTCCAATTCTTTGCCAATACAAAAAGAGCTGCTATAAATATTTTTGTAATATGAGTCCTTTTCCTCTTTTATCTTTATCTCTTTGGGTATGGACCCACTAACAATACCAATGGATCGAAGGGTTATCATGGGCTAATAACTTGTTTGGCATAGTTCCAAATTGCTTTCCAGAACAGCCAGAGAAGTTCACAGCTCCAGCAACAGTACGTTACTGTACCTATTTATCCACAACTCCCCCAGCATCTGTCATTTGCCTTTGTTGCCAACTTTGCCAATCTGATGGGTGTGAGGCGGTACCTCAGTTGTTTCGATTGGCATTTCTCTAACAATTAGTGATTTAGAGCATTTTTAAATGGCTATTTATAGCTTGTCTTTCTTCCTTTGAAAAGTGCCTGTTCCTATCCTTTGTCTATTGATTAGGGAATGGTTCTAATACTTATAAATTTGACTTGGTTCCCTATATATTTGAAAAATGAAGTCTTTATCAGAGAAACTTGCAAAAAAATTCCCCATTTTCCTGCTTCTCTTCTAATTTGGGTGCACTGGTTTTATTTGTGCATGAACTTTTAAATTTTATGTAATCACAACTGTCCTCTGTGCCTCCTGTGAACCTCTCTATCTCATTTGGTCATGAATTCTCCCCCTATCCAGAGATCTGACAGCTCCCCTATTTTATAATGCCAGCCTTGATGTGTAAATCATGTACCCAGTTAGAACTTGGCTTGGTATATAGTGTAAGATGTTGGCCTACACCTAGTATCCACCCAATTGTTTTCTAGTTTTCCTAATAGTTTTTGTCAAATAGTGAATCTTACCCAATAGCTGAGCTCCCTGGGTTTTTTAAACACTCGACTACTGTGTTTATTTGTTTCTGTAAAATAATAATAGCTAACATTTATATAGCATTTATGACGTGCCAGGCATTACGTTAAGCACTTTACAATTATTATCTCATTTTATCGACAAACAGTCCTGGGAGGTAGATGCCACTATTATCCCCATTTTATAGATGAGGTAACTGAGACAAACAGAGGTTAAGTGACTTGCCCAGGATCCCACAGCTAGTAAGTGTCTGAGACAACATTTGAACTGAGGTCTTCCTGACTCCAGGCCCAGCGCTCTATCCACTGTGCCACCTAGCTGCCCATACAGGTATTATTGTGTACCTAATCTGTTCCACTGATTAACTTCTCTATTTCTTACTCAGTACCAAACCATTTTGATGATCATGGCTATGTAATAAAGTCTAAGATCCGGTTCTACTAGGCTCCCTTCCCCTTCAATCTTTTTTTCATGAATTCCTCTAATATTCTTGACCTTTTGTTCCTCCAGACAAATTTTGTTACTATTTTTTCTAGCTCTACAAAGTAATCCTTTGGTAGTCTGACTGCTATGGCACTGAATAACTAAATCAGTTTAGCCAGCATTGCTATTTGTATTCTATTGGCTTAGCCTGCCCATGAACAATTACTATTTGAATCAATCATTCTGAGCTGTCTTTATTGTGTTGACACAGTTCTGTGTTTCTTGGTAGGTAGACTCTCAAGAAGTTAATGCTTTCTGTCCTTATTTTAAATGGAATTTCTCCTTCTATCTCTTCCTGCTGGATTTTGTTGACAATATACAGAAATGCTGATGATCTGTGTGGGCTTATTTTATATCATCAAACTTTGTTGAAGTTGCTCATGTTTTCAATAGTTTTTAAGCTCTCTAGGCTTCTCCAAGTAAAGTATCACATCATCTGCAAAAAGCAGTGACTGCTTCTTCTTTGCCTGTGCTCATTCATACTCCAATTTCCTGTTGGTTTCTTATTGCCACAGCCAGCACTTCCAGCACTACGTGGAACCATGATGATGAGAGGGAACAGCCCTGCTTCACTCCTGATCTTATTCCAAAGGCCTCCAGCTTATTCCCATCTACGCTGGATAATGCTGGCTTTTAGTTTTGCACAGATAGTACTTTGCATTTTAAGGAAAGCTCCATTTGTTCCTATGCTTTCTAGGGTTTTGTGGGAGTTTTTTAATTTTTTGAAGCAGCAATGAATGTTTTATCTTGTCAAAAGCTTTTTTTGCATCTTTTGATGTGATCATATGATTTTTGCTGTTTTTGTTATTAATATGGTCACTTAGGCTTATGGTTTTCCTAATATTGAACCAGCTCTGCAGTCCCAGCATAAATCCAGGTTAATCACAGTGCATAATTCTTTACAATACATTGCAACAGTATCCTTACTAATATTTTACTTAAAATTTTTGCATTGATATTCATTAGGGATGTTGATCTATATTTTTCTTTCTCTGATTAGATATTCCCTAGTTTAGGTATCAACACTACATTTGTATCATAGAAGGAATTTGGCAGGACTCCTTTTCTTATTTTTTTTTTCAAACAGTTTACATAATATGGAATTATGCTTTAAATGTTTTGCAGGATTCACTTATAAATCCAACTGGTCCTGGAAGTTTTTTCTTTGGGACTCCACATATATAACCTTATTCAATTTCTTTTTCTAAAATAGTGTTACTTAAGACTCCATTTCCTTTTCTGTTAATCTGAGCAGTTAACATTTTTGTAAATACTCATCCATTTCATTTAGGTTGTCAGTTTTATTGGCATACAGGTGGTCAAAATAGTTCCTAATAATTTATTTTATTTCTTCATTGGTAGTAGATTTACCATTTTCATCTTTTTCATTTTTAATACTAGTAATTCAGTTTTCTTTTTTTCTTTTTTTTTTAATCAAATTAGCTAATGAGTTATCTGCTACCCTACACACACACACACACACACACACACACACACACACACACACACACACACATACACACACACACAAACACAACTCCTAGTTTTATTGATTAAATCAGTGGGACTTTTTGCTTTCAGTTTTGCTAATCTGTCCTTTGGTTTTCAGGATTTCTATTCCGGTGCTTAAGTGGTTGTTTTTAATCTATTGGTTTTCTAATTTTTTTAGTTGCATGCCCAAATTAATTGGTCTGTTCTTTCTCTCTTTTACTGATGAAAATGTTTAGAGAAATACATTTCCTCCTAAGAGCTTGGCTGCATCCCCAATATTCTGGTATGTTGTCTTGCCATTGCCATTATCTTTAATGAAATCATTAATTGTTTCCATGATTTATTCTTTGACCCACCCATTATTTAGGATTGTTATTCCATTCCAATTAATTTTTAATCTTTGCTTCAATGTCCTTTTGTTGAATGTAATTTTAATGCATTACGGTTGGCAAAAGAAACATTTAATATTTCTGCATTTGTTAGATCTTTTATGCCTTAATTCATAGCCATTTTTGTGAAAGTGTCATGCACAATTAATAAATAGGTCTCTTCCTTTCTGCTGCCATTCAGCATTCTCCAGAGGTCTATCATAAGTAGCTTTTCTAAAATTCTATTCAGGTCCTTCATTTTTGTTATTTCATCATTAGATTTATCTATGCCTGAGAAGGGTAAATTGTCTATTTCTCCCTGTAAATTTTCCTTTAAGAATTTAGATGCTGTATCACTTGATGAATTATGTTTAATATTGATATTCATTCATTGTCTATAATACCTTTTAGAAAAATGTTGTTTCTCTCTCTCTTTTAATTAGGTCCACTTTTGCTGTTGCTTTATCGGAGATCACGTTTGCTGCCCTTGTTTTTTATTTTTTTTTCTCCTGCTGAAGCATAATAGATTCTGCTCCCACCCCTCATTTTCACTCTTTGTGTATTTTCTTATTCAAGTGTGTTTCTTGTAAACAACATATTGTTGGGTTTGGGTTTCTAATCTATTCTGCTACCCTTTTCTGTTTTACAGGTAAGTTCACTACATTCACAGTTATGAGCGATAATTACGCATTTCCCTCCATCCTATTCTCTTTTCCTTCTCCTTGCTTCTCACCAGCTCTTTAAGAGTTTGCTTTCCTTCTGACTAATCCTTCCCATAATCTGCCTTCTCTCTTGCTGCCCCTCTTTCCCTTAACCCCTCTCCCTCCTATTTCCTTGCTGGACAACATGCATTTCTGTGCCCAGCTCTGCGTTTATGGGTCTTCTTCTATCTTTCAACCAGTTCACATGAGAATGAGGTTCAACTGTTCCCCGCTCCTCCTCCACTCCTACTTCCTGGCTGTACAGACCTCTGCTTACACTCCCCATTTTTGTCATCGAATTTTCCCCATTCTTCCTCTCCCTACCCCCACTTCTCCCAATGTCTTCCTCTTCCTATTCCTTCCACTCTTCTTTTAATACCAATAAAACATAACAGAATCACTCCCTCTGTGATGATGATAGGGTTCTGAGGGGCCTCACGTGTCTTACCCCCAGACAGGAAGATACACAGTTTAACCTTGTTTAGTCCCTTAATGACTGTTCATTCATGCATATCATTTTGTGCTTCTCTTGACATTTGTATGTTGAATTTCTTATTCCATTCTGGTCTTTGTATTGAGAATACTTGGAAAGCCTCTGTTTTATTAAAGGTCTGGGCTTTTTTTTTCTGCCTATAGAATTACATTGTTTTTTAAGGTAAATAATTCTTGGTTATAAGGCTAGTTCTTTTGCCTTCTGAAATATCATATTCTAATCTCTCCACTCCTTCATAGTGGTGGCTGCTAAATCTTGTGTGATCCTAACTGTGGTTCCTCGTTACTTCAATATTTTCTGTCTGCTTGTAGTATTTTTCTTTCTTTGCCCTGAGAACTCTGGATTTGGGGTTTAACGTTCCTGGAAGTTTTAATTTTGGGGTTTCTTTAAGGAAGTGACTGGTATATTCTTTCTATTTCTACTTTGCCCTCTGTTTCAGATAGTCTGATAATTCCTAAATTAGTTTTCCAGGTTAGTTGTTTTTGCTATGAAAAACCTAACATTTTCTTCTATAATTTTTTTCATTTGACTTTGTTTTACTATTTCTGGATGTCTTATGTAGTCATTAACTTCTATTTGGTTAATTCTTTTTTTTTTTTTTGGTTAGGCAATGGGGTTAAGTGACTTGCCCAGGGTCACACAATTAGTAAGTGTTATGTGTCTGAGGCCAGATTTGAACACTGGTCCTCTCGAATCCAGGGCCGGTGCTCTTCCCACTGCGCCACCTAGCTGCCCCTGTTATTCTCATTTTTAAGGATTTACTTTCTTGAGTATGGTTTTGTGCCTCTGTTTTCCAAGCTGTTAATTCCCTTTCTATACCTTTCTTCAATTGCTCTCATTTCTTTTCCCATTTTTTCCTCCATTATTCTCATTCGGTTTTTAAAATTAATTTTAGTTCTTTAAAAAAAAAAAAACTCATGTTTCCATTCTGGTTGGACTTGTGTCCAAGTTGAATTGTTCTTCGCAGTTTTATTTTTAATTGTTCCAGATACGTGTCTTGAGATTCCTTGTCACCATAATGGCTCTTTAAGGTGGAATTCTTTTCCTGTCTCCTCATTCTTCCAGCCTGCTTTTTCACCGTGGACTTGATCTCAGTGCTGGTCTCTACGTACTTCTGGGGGAAATGTCTGGCCTGAGTTTCTCTCCTCTTACTTCCTTCTGCTGGGTTTTTTTTTTTACTTTTTGGTGAGACACTTGGGGTTAATGACCTTCCATCTATTTCACAAGTGTCTTGTATGTACATAATTGTTGGCTTCTTGTCTCTCCCATTAAAACGTGAGCTCTGGGAGGGCAGAGACTTGGTTTTTCCTTTCCTTTCCTACCCCACCCCCCCACCTGCTTACACAGTGTCTAGCACATAGTAAGAAACACCTGTTGACTGACTGAGAAAAATGACCTCAAAGACGAGAAGACCTGTGTTCAAGTCCTACATCTGACCTAGGAGATTCTGAGCCAGTCATTTTACTTCTCAACCTTCCCCCTCCATCCCCAAACACACACACATTCACATTTCTCTAAGACTATAAATTAATTGCAGAGGTGACAATCTGCCCTTTTTTGTTGTTGTTATTGAGGCAATCAGCGTTAAGTGACTTGCCCAGGGTCACACAGCCAGTAAGTGTCAAGTGTCTGAGGCCAGTTTTGAACTCCGAGGCTGGAGCTCTAGCCACTGCGCCACCTAGCTGCCCCTCGTCCTGCTGTTTTCACAGCTCAGACTGGGGGCCTGCAGGTTTTCAGCTCCTCCAGCGGGACGTGAGCCAGGGTAGAGTCTGCTCGCCGCTCTCTTGGTCTGGGATCTTCTGGTTGCTAGCCCCCGGGTTGGGTCTGGTAGCTCGTCCCTAGGCAGGAGTTTCCACAGACTGCTGCCAGACTCAGCCACAGTCCACTGGCGACTCTGCGTGTCCCGAGAGACTGAACTGCGGGCCCCTCTTCGGCCCTGGTTATCCCCCTGCCGCTCGTGTGCTGGGCTGAAGACGAGCACCGAGCCCCTGCTCTGCTCCTGCTGGTTTCAGAGCTTCTTCCTTCCTCAGGACACAACCAGAATCTGCCCCCCTTCTGTGGGACCCTCTCCAGCCTGGGTCTGCAGCCTAGGACTCGGGAGGGGGTGACAGAGCTGCCCTCACTTAGGGATCCTCTCAGATTATTTTCTGCCCTGGGGCGGCTCTGTCTCTTTGAATCCCTGGACACCAGAACGCTCCTCTCACAGTGCATTTCTGGCCAGACCTCGGCCCCAGAGTCAGCAGGCCTCTCTATCATCCTAAGATGCCCTGAGCTGGGAGAATGACCGCCTATGACTTTCTCCTGGATTTCCCGATCTGAATTCGGCTTAGCGCTTCCCTTATCTTCGTGGGAAGGTTTGTGGAGGGGGCCAGGCGGCCTTTCTTCCTGATACTCCACCCACCAATAGCCAATTTCTGACATGCAAGTTGCTTAAGCAGTTAAATAAGTGCCATACATGCATGTCACTGCAACATTATTTGGAAGGAAAAGAGCCACTCTCGTTCAAAGGTCACACTGTCTTAGAGAGTGGGGACGAGGGGATGTTTTGTGAACTGGCTTCAAGTTTGTACACAATGATGACAGAATCCTACACCCACCCTCCTTTCCCAAAATGCTGCTGAAGTCCCCTTCCTACCACCCACCTGAAGCACATGTCTAGGGCCTTTCTTAGAATGCACAGAGGGTAAAGCTTTGAAATCACCTAATGAACTCCTCAGAGGCCACATCTGTCTGCCACTGGCACGGCTGAATCCCAAACCTAGCCATCATGTCTAACCAAACAAAGCTGACTCGAGCTCCGATGAAGACCCTCCACGTCACTCATAACAGCCCACCGCTCCCCCAGTACCTTGGCTACTTCAGGGATGGGATCTATCACCCCATGGGGGTACTGAGGCGCTGAACAGACAAGCATGGCAGTGTTTCTGGAAATGGCTCTTCTCATTGCCTGGAGACGTAAAGAGAAAGAAGGAAGATGAGAACACCCATAGCGCGACCAAGAAGGGTGTGGAGCCACCACATGGCCGTCCCAACCTCCCTGCTCTTACTACAGCTCCCTGCCCGGGAAGACGGCACCGGTAGATCCTGGCAGAGGACCAAGGGCAGGGCGACAGCCTGCCAGTGTGGAGGAGAAGGAAGGCAGGCCCTTCCCACGCCGCCTTCAGAAGCCCATGGGAAGCGTGCTCCTGATCATCCTCAGGGGCTCGCGTGAAGTCACCTGAGACAGAAGAGGACCCACAGCTCTGCACTCCTTTTTAAGAATCACTCTGAGAACATGTGGTGACCTGAGTTTTCAATATTCCAGGTATTATCAACGAAAAAAATATTATTAAGTGCCTATCTGAACAGGGAAAGGGAGAGGGACTGGACCTGTGACAGAGGTTAAGTGACTTGCCCAGGGTCACACTGCTAGTGAGTATGTGAGGCTGGATTTGAACTCAGGTCTTCCTGCCTCCAGGCCCAGGGCTCTATCCAGTGAGCTGCCCTCCTCTGAAGCTTATGGTCTTAGAGAGTTGCCTAGAACACTGAGAGGGTAAAGTGACCTGCCCAGGGTCTCAAAGCCAGCATGTGTCAGAGGCAGGACTTGAACCCAAGTCCTTGTGACTCTATCCCCCATAACCTACCACTTCTTATTTGAATGTGACCATGGATAAAATGAACCACGTGGATGCAATCCTCATCCTCCTACAAGGTGAGGTGGTCAAGAGGAGCTCTGACAAGGAAACTCACCTTGACATCCACCTCCATCTTCTTATTCAGTGGGACGCGTACCAGCTTCATCCCAAAATAATGTGCTGCCTTCTCGAAGGCAGCGTGGACGCTGACAGGGGCCACACTAGGAGACAGAAGCACACATTCAGAACAGATGAAGCGACTGAGGACTGGGAAGGGTCAATGATTTGTCCACAGCCACACAACTCATAAATGTCTGAGGCAAGACTGAAAATGCAGATTTTCTTGACTCCAAGTCCAGAACTCCATCCACTACATCAAAGGGGAAAGGTCAACGCAAGGCAAAGGGGAAAGAGTGAACCGACAAGCAGAGCTAAAAACCAACTTGAACAATGACAAGCCAACCTATCTTTTTTAATCCCCTTTCTCCTTATTCCTGAAATACCATCCTGGTGACACTGTTAAAAGAACTAGAAAGTAACCTGATCACAGGCAACCTGTGAACACAAGAGTCTAATAAAGAAGTAAAAGGAGAAATTAAAGTCTCCTTTTTGCTTTAAGGAAAAATTCTCTCAACTAAACAGGATCGAACTTTCAAACAGTACTGACAGAGGAAACTAGTCAAACTCAGGTCTTCTTTTTCAGACTTACTGCTATTAACTCTCAGCATCCCCTATCTCAGAAACAATAAAGAGTTTCCCTCAATACCAGCCACCAAACTGTGACTTTTAAGCATCCAAGGTCATAAGATGCACATGTCCCCATTGAAGGGAAGGGACAGTACCAGTTGACCCTCAAGCACCATTGATGAGCAGAGATCATGTGTAACATTAGCTCTTGGGCACTGGTCCTGCTTCAGATACCAGCAGGGAGGGAAAAACAAATGCTAAAAAAGGTCAGTCCACTGGGTGGCAGCAGGTCAAGGCTCCTTGACAAAGGATGACAGAGACAAAAGGATGGATTGTTCTGGGGTAAACTAGGGGCAGCTTGTGGCTGAATGGTCTGTCTGAAGTCAAAACAAGGAGAAAAGGCTTTCCTCAATCGACTGAAAGCTTACAATCCAACAGGAAGAAGTCAAACACATCCCAAAAAAACACATCTGAGTCACTTCACTGGTGAGGTGCGTAAGAGCCTGGGGCCGAAGATGGCAGGGAGCTCTTAAATCCCAAAGAGTACCAGGCCTTGTCAGTGCATGTCCCTGGCCAACCAGCTTGGAACAAAGACTTGAGGATGAGAAGAGGCCCAGGTGCCCCCTCCAGGGATTCTCGTTACCTGGCATTCTAGCAGGGGAAATAGATCAAGGCTGGGAAGCAGATACATACATTTCTGGAGATTTGATGCCCTTTTCATAGGCTAGGTCTCGATAGGCTTTGCAGGCCATCAGGATGCTCTCTGTCCCCCCTGAAGTCATCTAAAAGGAAGAGGAGACATTAGCCATGGAGGCAGCTGAAAGGAGCTTCCAGAATGCACCGGATGTTCTAGCCTGTACAACCACTGGGTTCTGGTTCGTCGGCCAAAGCTAACCTTCCTGCAAGAAGCAAAGGCTGCTGAGATACTGATTCTTTCTTTTGTTTTTCAATAGCTTATACATGTCTGAAGGAGGCTGGATGTGGCCAACAGACCTAATCCAAAACCAGTCATTTTTCTACCTCCCTCTACAGAGTAGAAAGAATATTGGATTTAAGGGATCAGGAGACTTCAGTCAAAATCCTGTCTCATATAAGTACAGCCATGTGCTCAGGGATCAATCACTTTGATGTCATGCTCTGAGCCTCAGTTTCCTCATCTGTGAAATAAGGATAATCCATTATATATTTCACAGGACACTACAAAAATGCTTTATAATTGTTAAATGGCTACAAAAAGTGAATCATTATCACAAACAAACCTATACAGACAATGTATATGTGTGTATGTATGCACATATTTACATATATCTGGATAGTGACAAGTAGGCCCGCTGCAATGGACCCCAAGCTATCTTATCTGTTTACAAATAAGAAGGTACTGCTGCAATGCAAAAAAAAAAAAAAGTCATTTGATCTAAGAAGTCCACTAACACAAATGGGAAACTACTAGTAATTTCTGATAAATATTATAAGAAAAATGAACCCTTAGAACAGGGGTGGGTAACTTGTGGCCTCAAGGTCACTTGTGGCCTTGGGTATGGACTTTTGACTGAGTCCAAGTTTTCTAGAACAAATCTTTTTTCTTTTTTTTGGCTAGGCAATGGGGTTAAGTGACTTGCCCAGGGTCACACAGCTAGTAAGTGTCAAGTGTCTGTGGCCGGATTTGAACTCAGGTCCTCCTGACTCCAGGGCCAGCGTGCTATGGTTCCCCACCCTTGCCTCAGAGGCTGGTGTTACAGTTTAAACAAGAGAAAGGACAACAGAAGTAGTGCCCACTTAGTCAGGAAGGGGATTATGATCCTGTTTACCTAAGATAGAAACCATATGCATCACAGTTATGAAGGACCCTAAATATTTCTCTATGATTCTACCATCTATAGACTGAAAAGAAGATGGTTCAGAGGTCATTTCAAGAACTCCCTGGGTTCCACATAGTATTGTCATCCTACTATAAAAAAGAAACGACTATCTATGGAGATTCCTTGGTCATCAGTACAGCAGTACCAATACAAGTTCACAAGCATGTGGCCCCCTTTTAACAATGCCTCAAGGTGCCAACCCAGAATATTTAGCAGATATTTTTCAGATGTGCAATTTCTAAGCACACTTTCTCTTCAGATCACATGTCATGTATACACAGATGACATGTATTACATGCATGCTACACATCTACATACACACAATATATATTAATGGAAACAACCTATTTGATACATTGATAGAAAACTCCAACTCCTCGGCTTCAGTGAGACTGGGCTAGATGGTGGTTCGGGCTGGCTTCCAGAGAAGGTAACCTTGCCAAGAAAAGACCACTAAGCCCTAACACTGCTGGAATGAGGAGCTATTCTGAAGATCTTTGGAGAAAAGTCAGCCACTAGGACTCGGGAAGTCCTTATGAAACACGTGACTTTCACACCCTTAACTAGGAGTAACCATGAGAGTTCCCTTGTTTGGTAAATGATGCGTCACCAAATGCCTAAACCAAAAGGAAATCACAGTTTTACAAATGGGGTCAGAGATAAAGCCCCAGTTCATTGAGGCAATTCCCCAGGGTGTAGCTTGTGGCCCAGTGAAATCTCAGAATGTCATTACAGGAGTCAGACTGGTTCTGAAGTAAACAACAGGATGAGTGAGGCACCAGCAATGCCTCTGCCTCCACTGACTCAATCTCTGTACAAAGGTCTGGGCGTGAGCTAAGCAAAACCACTTCCCCAAAACACCAGTCACCAGAATCACATGCCCAACTTGGTCCTATAAAAAGAAAGCTGATGTTAGCATCTCCAATCAGCATCTGTGCAGAGAGAGAAACTCCTAACGTAGCACTAATGTGCTACAAAGTAACAGCTATATAGGACTAGATAGGAAAATGGACAAGAATTTACTTATTCGGGGCCATATCAATCAAACTACCAAAAACTTATTTTATAGAACTAGAAAAAATAATAACAAAATTCATCTGGAAGAACAAAAGGTCAAGATTATCAAGGAAACTAATGAAAAGAAATGCTAGGGAAGGTGGCCTACCCATACCAGATCTTAAACTGTATTATAAAGAAGCAATCATCAAAACGACTTGGCACTGGCTAAGAAATAGAGTGGTGGATCAGTGGAATAGGTTAGGTACACAAGACACTGCAGTCAATGACTATTATAAATTACTTTTTAATAAACCCAAAGACTCCAGCTTCTGGGATAAGAACTCCCTATTTAATAAAAACTGCTGGGAAAACTGGAAAATTGTATGGCAGAAACTAGGGAGAGGCCAACATCTTACACCCTATACCAAGATAAAGTCAAAATGCGGACACGATTTACATATAAAGGCTGATACTATAACCAAACTAGGGGAGCAAGGAAGAGTTTACCTGTCAGATCTATGGAGAACAGAAGAATTTATGGCCAAATAATAGAGAACAGTATGAAATACAAAAATGGATAATTTTGATTACATTAAATTGAAAAATTTTTGCACAAACAAAGCCAATGCAACCAAGATTAGCAGGGAAACAGAAAGCTGGGAAACAATTTTTACAATCAGTGTCTCTGATAAAGGCCTCATTTCTAAACTATATAGAGAACTGAGTCAAATTTATAAGAATACAAGTCATTCTTCAATTGATAAATGATCAAAGGATATAAACAGGAAGGTTTCAGATGAAGAAATTAAAGCCATCTATGTCACATGAAATAAATGCTCTAAATCACTATTGATTAGAGAAGTGCAAATTAAAACAATTCCGAGGCACCACATCACACCTATCAAACTAGCTAACACGACAAAACCAGAAAATAATAAATGTTGGAAAAGATGTGGGAAAATTGGAATACTAATGCATTGTTGATGGAGCAGTGAATTGATCCAACCATTTAGAGCAATTTGGAACTATGCCCAAAGGGCTATAAAATGTGTACCCTTTGACCAGCAATAGCACTTCTAGGGCTACATTCCAGAGAGATCATACAAATGGGAAAAGGACCCACATGTACAAAAATATTCATAGCAGCTCTTTTTGTGGTGGCAAAGAACTGGAAATTGAGGGGATGCCCATCAACTGGGGAATGGCTGAGCAAGTTGTGGTATATGAATGTAATGGAATACTATTGTGCTATAAGAAATGATGAACAGGCGGACTACAGAAAATCCTGGAAAGACTTGTATGGTCTGATGCTGAGTGAAGTGAGAGGAACCAAGAGAACGCTATACACAATAACAACCACGTTGTGCAATGACTAATGTTGATAAACTTAACCCTTCCCAGCAATACAAGGATCTTAGACATCTCCAAAGGCCTTGTGATGGAAAATGCTATCCACATCCAAAGAAAGAACTATGGAATTTGAATGCAGATCGAAGCATATTATTTGCTATTTTTTTTCTCTTCTGTTGAGTTTTGTTACCTCTTTCTGGTGGTTCCTCCTATTGGTTCTAATTTTTACTTACAACATCACTAATGTGAAAATATGTTTAATAAGAATGTATATATATATATAGCCTATATCAGATTGTGCACTGTCTTGCGGAGGGTGGTGGGGAGGAAGGGGGAGAGAAATTTTAAACTCAAAAGCATATGGAAGTGATTGTTGATAAATCAAAATAAATTAATAAAAAAAATGGAAAAAAATAAAATAAAGCATTACGTGAAAAAAAAAAAAGTTCAACCAAAAAAAAAAAAAAAAGAAAAGAAATGACGAGCAAAGGGACTTCAGAAAAACCTGAAAAGACTTATATGAACTGATGCTAAGTAAAGTGAGCAGAACCAGGAGAACACTGTACACAGTAACAGTAACATTGTGCTATGACTATGATAGACTTAGCCCTTTTCAGCAATGCAAGGATCTCCAAAAGTCTCATGATGACAAATGCTATCCACATCCAGAGAAAGAACTATGGAGTTTGAATGCAGATAAAAGCATATTATTTGCTTTTTTCTTCTGTTTTGTTTTGTTTCTTCTTTCTTGTGGTTCCTCCCATTGTTTCTAATTCTTCTTTACAACATCCTCCCATTGTTTCTAATTCTTCTTTACAACATAATTAATGTGAAAATATATTTAATAGGAATGTATATGTAGAGCCTATATCAAAATGCACATTATCTTGGGGTGGGGGGAAGGGAGGGAGGGGAAAAAATCTGGAACTCAAAATCTTATGGAAGTGAATGTTGAAAACCAAAAATAAATTTTTTCTAAAAGAAAAAAGGATAATAGACAAGAGCTACAAGAACTATAGGAATGTATATGTATGTGGATAACTGATAATTTGGAAGAATCCCAATGGTTAGTGCAGCAGGAAGAAGGAACTACCAGCAACCATGTTTGTTGCAATAGATGAGACATAAATAAGTTTTCATAAAACATGTGATGCTAGCCTCCTTAGAAATCTGTCTCTTAGATGCCATTTAGAATATTTAAGTGCACTTATAGAAACTTTTCCATTTCCCCCCTCCCTATTTGGGGACCTCAGCTTATCTAACGCCACAGGGTAAATGAGGTCACCTAAGATAAAAGAGTTTTGTTGGTATAAAGGGGTAGAGGGGAGCATCAGACCTGGAATCAATCTATAGATCACCTAGATAGCTGGGGCAGAGAACCATACAATGCACTGCTGGAAGGGCCCTTTGAGAATCTTCCTACTTCTGTGGTGACATGAAACTAATTTTCAAATATATTTAGACATCATTATGATTTTTAAATGCAAACTACTGAATTCTTATTAGCTTGTCATCACAAATTTACCAAAAAAAGCAGCTATGAATAGTATAATTACTAACATGTGGTGATATGT